GTTTCTATATAAAGATTTCCATAAAATTTTTATAGATTCTATAAATGCATAAAGATTGTTGGTTTCATTATAACCTCTCTTTCAGTGCCAGTGGAAAGAAAAATTACCTGCAACTCTGAAAAGCGATCTACAAATACAGGGATGGGTAGGTATGTTCAGACTTCTAGCTAAAGAGCTCTAAGACATTTGCTATATTTCATCAAAATATAGATGAGCACAGTGGAGAATCAACTTCCAGCACATTCAACTCTAAGCACCACTCTCAGAACAAACAGGCCTCGAAAAAGTACAATTGTGAGAACAAATAATTAATTCTTCATGTTTTAGTACAAGAAGTAAATCACATCAAAACTAATGCATTTTAAAATTGTAGGTATAATACCTATGATACCTGACACATTAAAAAGCTACTTTTGGAAATCTTCTCTGGGATAGGGTACTATATCTTTATTCTAAATTATCTCATACTACATGTTATAATTACTAAGGGCTCATTTTTTAATCTGAAAAATCAGGTTTTAAAGCCAAAGATGGGATTTTGATGAGAGGGGTGACCATAATTTGCTAACATGTTAATTTAACTATCCTCTCCTTCAATTCAATTAGTATTCATTAAAACTACACTAATCACAATGAATAAAGTTTTACCAATTATTTCCATAATTATGAATGAATACAGTAAACATAGAATAATTATAAATCCACTTAGTTAATTACAAGGCTATTTCTAGCAGGGAAAGATATTGTGGTTTTCTTTCTTATTTTTAATGCTAGATTGACATGTTGATAGCTTTGAGAAACCATTTCTAGAAATGAAGCATATTATTATGATTATGCTCTTTTTTAACAAAAATTTTCTATTAGGTTTACTAAGAGCTATATTATATAAACTTTAGTAAGAGAATGAAAAGAATTTGGTTTAAGTTCCCAAACCCAAAGTAACTCAAAAATTGTATCTGTAATTTAGTAACCTTAACCTTAAAAAAAAAATTTAGATTAATTCAGATTACACTTAAGAGAGATATAACTTTTTGAATTTCACACGTGTGTTGTTAACAGGTTTTTGGTTTTTTTCTTTTTTTAATGCAGGATCCATTCCAATTCAGGATCCTACCAATGTTGATGTTTTTGTATTTAAACTAGCTAAGCATTAAACAAAAGCAGATGAATAAGTAATATGAACTCTGAAAAGACCCTGCTTTTGCCTTTGTTGCTGTTTGTTTTTCTCTTTCAAAAAACATAGGCATTGCATATCTTTCAGGAATTAAGACAAAAAAAGCCTGTACTTTCAGGTTTTAAAACAGTAAGCCTACCAGATTTTAAATGAAATATTGAGTGCTACAGTGATTTAATGGTTTTAAACCATAGATGTCATTGCAGTCTGAGGGTGTCACAGACAACTTTAGGAAGAAAAAAAGCGGGGGGGGGGGGGGGTGGGACACAGAGAATTCACTTTGTCAGTAATTACCATCAAGAGTCCTAAAATGTGGCTCAGGCTGCTCATTACTACTTCCTTCTGTATCAAGACCCTTATTTACATTTCAGATTACATTTTTTATGAAACAGTAAGATCTATCAGAGCTGAGAAGACTGAAATAATGAGGGGAAAACATTTTAATAAAACGTGTTGGGTCTGCATTACTTCCGTGTCAGAAAGAAAGGCTACTTCTGTAGTGATGGATCATTTATTCTGCTTCTAAACGAGAAGCAAAAAAGATGAAACTGATGAACTTTTACTGCCCATTTGTCTTTAGCAGACAATTAAGACAGAGAAGATCAAAATGGATTATCATACCACGCAGACAACTGGCCCAACAGTAATACATCTCCGGGACCACAGATTTGTAACTCTCTTTTATCCCTCCCCTTTCTTCTTACTTCTTTTTCCACTCTAAAGGCAGTGCTAGCTTTGTGGCTCAAGGAGAGCCAAAAGGCTGGTCATCATTATTCAGTCACAGATGTCAATCTAACCTCCCTTTTTTCTCAGTTTCTAAAGCAGTGAGCCACAATAATTTGTGACAGATTCTTTTACTGTAAGGTACAAAGAACACACAGAATAAAACATCTAGCAGCAGCAAGCGTCTCTGATCAAGTGTGCTGGTACATGGGAAATACACTATATGTAAAAACAAGCACTAGTAGTTTAAGCGAATGGGGAAAAAACTGGGCGGCGGGGGGGGTCGTGTGTGTGTATAGTAATAACTGCTATGCTTTGTGGTGAATTATCTTAAATATTCCTTATGGGTTACACCACAGATGTGTTAATACTAGAAATATTGTCTAGATTAAGTACATATTCAGCATTTAAGGCTTATATTATATGTAACAGAGATATTTCTAAGAATTCCTTTATAATGGCACACCAAGGGAAAAGATAATTTGGCTTAATCCAACAAATGCTAAGAAAAAAACATTTAATATTAGAATCCAAATTATAAAAAGATCAATAAAAAAATGCAGGTCTCAATTCCTTTACATCTAGGTCAACTCTCAAATTTCTTGGGGAGACACTGTGTCAAGTTGGAAGAGATATCAAGTAAGGTAGTGATGTACATACATTGATAAGTCTACATCCAGCCTATGTGTATCATCCTCCAAATCTCCAAACTAAGTCACTCTTCTAAACAAATGCCTATCCTAAGAGAACTTTAAAATAGTTTAAAGTTATTGTTTTTTAGATTCCTATTATAATTTTGAATTATTCCAACTTTAATACATAAAATACTTATAAGACTATTTATTAACTAAAGTAAAGAGAACTAAGTTAACAACACAACAATACCTAATCAGGAAAATGGGCACTATATGCAATGACAGAGTTGATGAAAATCTGTATTTCTCTTTATTTCTATCTCACATTTTATGTGTATGTATGTGGAGCACCTGTATATATACATACTCTACCCAAACATAAACACATACATACACTTAGAGAACATGAAAAAATAAACACCAAATTATCACAGTAGTTATCTCCTGAGTAGTAAAATTTCGATGATTTGTATTTTCTTTCTTTTCATTCTTTTATTTTTGCTTTATCTTTATTTCCTAAATTGCTTTTTGCTCATGAACATATTACCATGCAAGTTTTTTTAAAGTTACCCCCCTCCAAAAAAAAAAAGATCATGGTGCTCACAAATTTTCAGATATAGCAAGAAACTATGTTTAAAAGAATAAACCCAGGTGTCAACTATGCTGTTTTCTCCTACATAATTTTTTCTCATTGGGTAATTCAGATCAAGGGACCAAAAAGATCATCTACCTAGACAACAACATTTTAAAGAATGATTTTCTTTTCCCTGGTGGCTCAGAGGTTAAAGCGTCTGCCCGCAATGAGGGAGACCTGGGTTCGATCCCTAGGTCGGGAAGATCCCCTGGAGAAGGAACTGGCAACCCACTCCAGTATTCTTGACTGGAGAATCCCATGGATGGAGGAGCCTGGTGGGCTACAGTCCATGGGGTCGCAAAGAGTCAGACACGACTGAGCGACTTCACTTTCACTTTTCTTAAGAACTATGTGCATGTGTGCTCGGTCACTCGGTTATGTCCAACTATGTGACCCCATGGAGTACAGCCTGCCATGCTCCTCTGTCAGTGGAATTTTCCAGGCAAAAATACTGAAGTGAGTTGCCATTTCCTCCTCCGGGGCAGCAAGTCTATTCTAAACAAAACTTTTAAGATGTTCCACCCTTTAAACACTGTCTAAAGAAAAAAATCTTTATAAGATCCTATAATCTTTGGATCGTGTAAATTAAATCCAAAGGGCTCAATTCCATACTAACTTAAGGTAAGATAAAAATTTAACTTTCCTGTTGGAAGATGAAGCCAGGGTAGAGTGAGAAAATGACTATTTTTGTTAAATTTCATTTTAAAGTCTTGAGATGATATGCAAAGCAAACTATACCAGTTTTCTTGGTTCCTGTACAATATATCTCATGACAAAGCATCTTATTATCCTGATTATCCAGTGATATTCCTAAAGATGTATAAGATGCCTTGCCCTCTATACAATAGGCCACACTGCAAAGGTGGTACTATTTATTGTACTGGATAGTTATATTCCACCATATTTACCCTCATTCAAGGACATTTTTAATACACAAAATTAAATGGAGGCACTTCAGAAAAATGTTTTTATTTTGTACAGTATACCACATGTAAAATGCTTTCTAAAGTTTATTATGTAATCGAGGATGCTTTTATTTCAAAACCTCTTAAAAATAAGTATACCAAAATGCATGTTTGGTATACTAACTTAATATACCCCAAAAAGCTGGTATACCCCAAAAAGCTACGAAACACTTCTAATATTTCTCAAGATAGAAACTGAAATCCAGAATGTGTAACCTGGGTTTAATTATAAAGAGTAGAGCAACTTCAGAACTTCAGCAGTATTTTGTGAGTAAAATAGTTCTTTCTACTCCATTCCATGCCTGCAGAATGCAAGAAATTCAAGATGGCACGATGGCAAGACCAACTCGCCAAACAACTTTCACTACCATCATTAAAACCACGCTTACCCTAAAGACCATTCTTGCATGTGTATCTATCTTCTCCTTTAAGTACCACCATAACACAGTTTCATAATTCATTTACAATTTTAGGAAATGTTATAATCTTCCATCCTCCCTACCTTTTTGTTATACCGGTTCCTGACTGCTTAAATAGCATTAAAAAAAAAAAAGTTCACAGGCAATCTGAACAGGATTTGCTAATGAACTGCAGACTGTAGCATACCTCAAAGTGAAAAGTAAAATTTGTGATAGGTTTTCTTCCTTACTTTTTGTGCATGTTTCCCCTGAAGGTAACACCCCAAAATCTAGCACCAATATTTTCAATCCTACTTCAGTATGTTTTACTTTTTGTCTTAGGTTCGTAATTACTGTTTCCCTTCCTTCTAAAAATTCATTTATCTCTTTCAGTAAAAAGAACAGTAATAATATGTTGAACAACTCTGAAATAAATTTTGTCATGTAAAAAATTAATTACGCATTCCGAACCTGGTCACTGTAGTCCTCCGGGAATTGCCTCTGCACCTCAGGATCTGTAAATAATTGACAGATAATATTAATTGGCTTTGGATTAGTGAGCAAGCAGAGGATCACACATTAATATTTGATCAGAAGATGATAGCAGCCCTGGCAGGGGATCCAAGGGGGGCAGCTGAGGCTGCTATGTTGATGAGCACAAGGAAGGACTCAGTGAGGCACTCCCATTACCCTCCTCCAGAAATATAAAAAAGAAAAATTTTAAAGACCTGATGCTACTGTTAACTTTAGACTATTACCTAATGCAAAAATCTTGCCAGCTGCAAATTGCCCTCGATACATTTTTCCAGAGAAAGTGAGTCTTAAATCTGCTTGACTTTTCTTCTCTTATCAGAAGTATCCTTTTCACAGTCACAGATGTGGGCTTGGTATGTGTGGGTAGGGGTGGGGGAGAAGTCAAGGTGAAGGCAAGGATCAGACAAGAATTCTTTTCTTTCAAGGAAGAAACGTAAAATTTCCTGTTTTTAAAAATAAAATAAATTCTTCCCAAAATATTTATGCTCTCTTGAAAATAGATGAAATTTTTCAAACGAAAACAATATACTTTTAGCTTATCAGTGTTAACAAAATATCATATGAGATTAGACTTGCTCAGAAACTATAAACATACATAGGTGAAGATGTCTTTCATGACCAATCTATTTAAAATGGAATCAGGAAAGTGGTCACTTGATTCTTCATAACTGCAGGATAACCCATCATCTCTAAATCAATATAGAAGTGTACTAATTAAAAGCTATTAGTACTCCATTTGCTATTGATTAGGGAAACATTCATTCTTTTCTAACGAGAGAGATCTGGTTCCTCAGAGACACATTAAGAAGAGTGATCAGAATAGTATCTATTTGAGAAATCATGTATCAATGCAAAATGCTTTCATAAAGCACAATATTTGAGGGTCCCCGACCACAGTGGGTACAGTATATACTACTCAGCTGTCATATCTGTCTTCTAAAATATCAATTTATTTCTCCATAGCACAGAAGTGAATCTATGTAAAAGTTAAAGTCCTACATGTCACAAGATAAAAATGCAATTAACTGCTCTGCAATTAAAGAATCAAAAAGGGGGGAAATTATGGGCCTATTCACAAACTACATTTAAATCTTAGAAATGCTGGTTTTCAAGTCAATGGATGTCATTTTTCAACACTCAAGACTAATAAAGGAATATTCAAAAGGTCACACAAAAAGCAGAACTTCCCAAAATAGGTGGTGCAGAAAAGTTGAGACTACCTGTACACTACTTTGGCTCTTAAAGTGTCTTCTGGATGACTTCACAACTAGGGACAAATTTCTTTACCCTCCTCTGAAAATACTAGGAAGACAACAATGATATGTCCAGACCAGTACTGCTAGAATTCTAGAGTAATCCTCACTGCAGTACCTTGCAGGGCTGTTCTGGTAAGTCAGAGGAAGTAGCTGCTGAAAACACACCAGGACTTGTGGATGTTGTGACAGGAGGCCAGAAGGCATAATCTTGCGGCATGAAAAGCACTAGGTCCAGGGTAGGGGTGAGGATGGGGGTGGGGGGACTTGCCAGCAGGATGCAAAGAGACAGCCACAAGCCCAGCAAACCCCTAAAAATGTGCTGTGGGGGTGGAGTAGAAGATCCAAAAAGAGGGCTCTAATTCCTAAAATATACATAAATGACTCTGTCCAGAAAAATAACTGGTATTTCAGGATTTAAAATTTGCTACTGAGACCCACCCCTCACACTCCCTGCGAAATGCAGCTCAATGGACACAGTAACATAGAGGCTGGAAAAGCCACAAAATAATCTAAGGCTTATTCTTTTTCTTCTAGTTGTCATGTGGTGAACAGTTAACTCTTCAACAAGAAAACTTCATACAAAAATGACTCACATATAAATCTTTAATATCAAGTTCTCTTTTCTGCAATAGTTTGCTTCTTGGGAACCACAAAAATACCAATGGAAATAAAGATGGAACAAAGTAAAAAAAAAAAAAAAACTACTTTTTATCACCATTTTCTGAGAGGATGAATATCAGAAACCAAAATTTGTGGTATATTCTTCAATTTTAAAAATGTTTGCTTATAAGTAGGAAAAGGAAGGTCTTTAAATCTCTTTAACCAACTAAGCCAACCATGTTAACAATAACTACATAAATAATTTTGTGATTTTTTAAATGCACTTTATTCATATATACATAGAATTGTAAAAAGAAAAGGAAAATAGATGAAAAACATCAACTTGTTTTAATACAATGAAAGTAAAAATGACCATGGAACTCCAAGACGGGTGTCATTCAAACCATATTATTCTAAACACTGCTTCAATGATAGGCAGTATCAACTAAATACCTTCATCAACTAAATTCTTTCAACGGTCCTGAGACTAACCCTAGAGTGAGACTCCCAGATTTTAACAGAATCATGTTCCAAGATAATACATGGATTATTATTTACAATGACTCAAGCATAAAGCTTTTGATTCCCTTTCTGTAAGACCCTGAGATTTATAAAAGCAAACTTCATAGGTCTTTAACACTCTCAACAGCAGCATTTAAAAAAAAAAAAAAGGCAATGCCTTTTAAAACCAAAGCCCAACCTATAAAGCTCCATTCAATTAGCTCAAAGATCCAGTCTGACAGTTAATAAAACTATGAAAGCTATTTTGTAAAAATTAACACAAAAACTAAAAAAAAAAAATTTGTATGAACTTTCTTTAAATGTCTATTTTGCACAGGAGGTTGAAATCATTTTTCACATTGAGTCGACTGTAATGCCTTAATGTCACCAAAATATCGACATTGGAAACATCTGAGTTAAAAAGGTCCAAATACAATCTGCTTTTCTCAAGCAACACAACACCCGCCTCACTAACAGTTTCAGCATGGCACATGTACAAAACCGAGCACCCTGCAGTTCAGCAAACCGCCTTTAAATTTTCTGTCTGGCAGCAATCCACTTGCGTGTCTGTATGCTTTTACAAGTACTCTATGTATTTCATTGCATCAGCTGCATTTCTTTGAGTTTTAAATGGTCTGGGAACATTTTATGAAATGTTCTATATCTTTATATGGAAAATAGCATACACTGGAAAACTGTACATCAGTCTAATATTTATGTATCTGTTTCTTTACCCACCATCCAATGTTATAATTGCTAATGCTCCAAAATTTCTTCTCACATTCATACCCTCACTGCCAAATGCAGTGTCACCAAACAGCTAACTTCCAACGCAAAAATCTGAAGATGAGAGTACTACCAAGGAAAAAAGGAAAAATTAACAATTTGTTTAGGCATTGGTAGTAAGAACAGTTATCAGCATATGTCAAGCTTTCTCTAAGAATTGTCCCCCTGACAGAAAATTAAGAACTTAATATAGAAATGCACTACACCCTTCTTTCTCAGCAAATTTCTCCATATTCAACAGATTATTTAAAATATTAAAAATCAACTTCAACATCTCCCAGGAAAACACAACCTTTTTGTTGAAAAGTATTTAAAATACCTTGCTAACAAGATGTATGGTATGGAAGAGTCCATACATGACTTAACCACATAAGGCTAAAAAGAGATAGCTGGCTCTAGAACAAGGTTTTGCATTATGTCAGTCTGATGAGACACTACCTTCTCTCAGCACTGCAACCATGCAAGACACTGACCCCACACTGACACACGTGCACCACTTCCACTGGAGGTCACAAAAGCATTTCCATATTTAAATCAGACAGTTTACAGTATTGGACTCCCAAGAGCATTCAGGAGTAGATATGACATGACTATGCTTAATAGCCTATGTCTTCACAGCAAAACAAAAACAAAAAAACTGATCTCAGAAGAAATGCTTTTTTTTTTTAAAGAAAAGCTAATTTTCTTCTATCTCAATAGCCTTTTACTATAACATACTATTAAATCTTTAAGATATACCAGATTGCCACAGGATGTTTAATTAACAGAATAAGAGTTTGGGCAAGACTTACTGGAAAGGCACTATAAATTATTTTACACAGGCTCCAAAACCTTGAGCTCTGCCTTAGGCTTAAAGTTTCTAGAAAACGTGGCAGACAGATCTTTTATGACAGAAATGCAAAATAATTCATAGAAGTACGGTGCTTATGTATGAGGGCCCATTCATAAACTGGTAACTAAAAAGTGTACATACTCACAAACACATAGCTTACCAAATTATCCTCCTGTTTTCCTTTGCCACACCAATGACTGACTCCATTGGAAGGGTCAAGGCAAGACGCTTTAACTGATTATTGAAAAATACACTGATTTCATTTTCTGTGAAAGGTGTAGCAACTGCACCTTTAATCAAGTGTTACAATCTTCTACAATTGTAGCTCTTTTAGGAAATTTAAGAGAAACTGCAAATGCAGCCATTAACAGACATCTACACTGCTTTCACTTTAACATGCTAGATACCAAGGCCGAAAACGTTGTATATAACACCCACTAAATTCCAACCATTATCTCTAGGATATTTCAGTGAATAAGAGACAAATAGTGAACACATTTAAGCTTACAACAATAAAAATATGCCCCGTTACAGTGAGACTTTAAAATGAGCTATAACGATATAATCTCATTGTTCAATTTCATGGAGTTTAAGATACTATCTTCCTTTCCCCTAAAACCATAAATGTTAATCCAAGCTGTAATCAGATTTAATTTTCCAGATGAGAAGATGAGAATATGCTGCAAACAAGTAACAGTCCATTACACTGCTCTTTCCCTAACAACACTTTCCATTTTTATATACTAAAAATATAGACCCTCAGAAAATAGTCTGGAAAGTTGTACATTTTAAGGACAAACTCAATCTTCCTCAAAACACTTAAAAATAAACTGTCTTTTAATCTTCAAGAAGAGAAGTTAATTTTTTGTATCATGTAGAATTAAAGTTTCTTGACAGTAGGACTTCAAACTGGACTGCACTAAACTAATAAAGAGCTTCAAGGACACTGCCTATTAAATCTGTTTTAGCTACAAAAAGCTCCACTTACTTTATTTTATAAAATAAC